AATAGCTCGGAGGGTCATTTTGTTAGCAAAAGCCCCACGTATCGTATAATTGCCTATCCCTAGTTTCATATCATCTTTTATATGATGTTTTACACACTACGGAAAACCCTCCTTTACCTACTTCTTCAATGTTTTTAAAATTATCGTATTCTATCCAACTGAAATAGTTATTTTCACTACAATTATGTTTCATAATAACTGATTTTAAATACCATTCAAATGCCAAATCTTTATTCTGATAACATGAACCAACACTATATATTACACAATAATGTCCATATTCAGCACTTTTCAAATAATATTCAAAGGCCTTTTGTTCATGCTTTTCAACTCCAATTTCATATTTATAACAACATCCAACATTATATATTACACCAGCATGCCTCATTGGGATGCGCAGTATACTATATAAAACAAAACTATATGTGGTATCATATAAAAGTCAATTATCGAATTTTTTAAAGTGATAATTGATAAATTAAGAATATGTTTTGATATATAAACTGTGCCACACTTTTTTAGACACACAGTTGCATCTCTCTTTTTTTTTACCCAAGTTCTTAATACAAATCGGTTCTTTCTTATTAGATATTTAAAGCTATAGAACCTTCTTTTATATTACCTATAGAAAGTTTTTTTTTTTCTTGAATTATGTTAATTGTATGTTTACTTGGTTGACCAGACGAATTTTAAAATTTACTAGTAAGTTTTTTTAGATAAAATAGAATTTTATTCTATAATTTAGTTCTTTAACACTTTATACTAATTTTCTTGAAATTTCAGTTTGGAATTATGTATCGTTAAAGTTGTATATCTAATTAAGCTTAATAAAAATAGGGATTTATAGATCAAATAAGCACAGATTTCATTTAAAAAACACATAACTTAAAAAAAAACAAAAATAAATTAATAAAGGAATAGTTGCTAATGAATAGTATCTATCAATAAAATGGCATCTACCAACAAGATAGTATTTGCTAACGAAATAATATCTACTAACAAAATGGTATCCACTAACGGAATAGCATTTGCTAATAAAATAACATTCACTAACGAAATAACATCCACTAATGAAATGGTATTCACTAATGAAATAGTATTTACTAATGAAACAGCATCTACTACTAACAACAATAAAGTAGAATCTGCTAATGAATCTGCTAATAACAACAACAACAAAGAAACATTTGCCAATGATAATTGTACCCAATTAATTTTGACTATACAGCAATTAGATAATAAAAAATTAGTATTAGCAAGTAATCTTATTTCTATAATATAGTATTTAAAGGGTCCAACAAAAGGTGTATGATTACTTTTCACAAGCATAAATCTGACTACCAATCATTGCAAAATTCAAATTTAAAATTAGGAAAAAAAACAAAAAACTTGACCAAAAGAAGATTAAAAGAATAATAAACTTATTAAACAGACTTAGTCACTTGGAGCAAAAACCTAACACTTAAGAGAACAGAAATTATGGTACATATCTGAAATTTATTTTTTTAAGCGCTTTTATATTTTTTTACAATACCTTATATTGTTGCCAAAAATTCAAGGTGCTATTTACTGAAAGTTTAAGGTCGCCCTTTTTTAAAGCTTGTAGTACCATTACCAAGGTCTAGATTGTTGGTACGAGAGTTTGAGGTCGCCGGTTACGTTGCTGGTACTAATTGTTCAAGCTTGTTGGAAGGTTCTAAGGCTGTAATTCTTGCCTGATCACACTTGAAA